ACTAGGTGGGTCAAATCAACTCTTGCCAACCCTGGCACAAATGTGACTACCTTAACGACACACAGAACATGGGCTGCTTCGACTTCATATTCCGTTCATAAAGCTGGTATCAGCCTAGCGAACGTACTTAAAGCTGCTGGTTGAAGCAATGCCTCCACGTTTGCAAAATTACTTGTGACTGCAGGGCTTTAAAGTCTCATGTGACTACGGAGTGACTAAGACTGGGGACAAAATAGAATTTAATAATTAACCAAGACTTACCTGTAAGGTGAAGTTTGATTGGAATTATATCTCGTCACCAGTCAGGAACGAAGGAGTCACATGCCCCCCCTGTAAGGACATTATTCACGTGCCCTTGTCCTATCACGTCTCCTTCCTTCCTTTGTCCTGCAGCCACGCATGTTTAAGACTGACTGATCGCATGCACATGCTCTCTCATGTGACTCCTTCGTTCCTGACTGGTGATGAGATAGAATTCCAATCAAACTTCACCTTACAGGTAAGTCTCGTTTAATTATTAAATTATAGATAACCACCTTCGACCCTGGGAATAGGATTAGCATCCTACATAGTATAGTCAGTAGTGGCTACTGTTGGCTGCCGACAACAGTGGCTACATGCCGGAAATGAGTCCAAAGATGACAGAGTCTTGGCCATCTGAGAAATGAAGCCTGCCTGACAACTAACATACATGATGGTTTATTTAACTTTTGTTATCTTCCTTGCTCTCAACTGATTTAATTTTTTTCTTGCAAATGTTCCTATTGTACTGTCAAATAAAGGGACCCCAGTAAGAACAAAAAGTTCCTGTGTGATCAATTGGGAAAATTGATGGGTCAACAGTTCTAGCCACACTTCAGTGATATAGAGATAAGGAATAATTGTTTGGACAATAGCCGATATACAATTGCAACAATAACTGAAAAAGGTATGTCACAAAATATTCTTTCTTTTCAAAATGTGCTCTTTAAAAAAGTATGCATAAAGTCATTGTCCCAGAGAACAAAGAAATAAACTAGACACTTGCTGCGTGTACCCAGGCAGTCATTATACTGAGAAGCACTAGCTATATTGCAATTGAGCTTAATGTTCTGCATTTGAAGTCGTACGAAATTCAATCGAATCAATGTGCTCAAGCTATTCTGCCTTTGATTGCACTTCATGGAATCAATCAATAGCTTATTACTAGTTTGCAGGTCTTCAGGGAGTGAAATGAGTCAAGGTCTTTATATCAGCCTATGAACGTTTCAGTCTATTTTCCTTACCCTTTGTCGTTGTTGCTGTTGTTGTTGTTGTTGTTTTTGCATTTACCAAGCGAGCGAGACATTTGGAATTTCAGATTTATGGCGGTGCATGACATTGAGTTACGAATGTGTTTGTCAAAAAACATATAGTTATCTCGTGACTTTTAGCCCATTCAAAAGTTAAAGTATTAGGAAAAGTGCTTATGTAAATGTTTGTTTGCTCAATACAGATAATCAGTCGCCTGGATAGCCAAAGTAAGTTCCAGATGTTTACACTATTTTCCGGCTGCAATGTTGGTTTACCGTGGAGATACACCAACATAGCGGCTCCATACTGGGCTCTGTAAATGTGTGCAAAATATCTCGACGAATATCTGAGGTTTGGGAAAACGCACAGACTTAAAAATTACATAAGTGTCACTTTATTAATCTCCTATAACATCAGAACTTCTTGACTTTATCCACTAAATGGATTTCAAATAACTTTTTTATTGCATCAGGATTGCGTGACAATGCAAGCCGAGAATTGTTTTGCTGGGGTCAACATACATTAGTTTCTTTCAGCTTAAATGTACAATAATTTGTTACATAGGTTTCATTCTTGTAAAGACACATAACTCTGTTACAAGAAAATAACGAGAGAATATTGTTGAGTTTGAGATTTTAACTCTATTATACTTAACGAAGTTTCTCAGAAAGTTTTACCCAGGTGTAATTGAACAGATACATTTGCAAACAAATTCTCTAACCTCTCTGCTCTTGTTGCTCAGAAGTTCTCGAGTCCACACTGGGATTCTACTTGGTTTACGACCACATCTAAAAATACGATGACGCATCTAGGATGCTTTTTATCAGGTTGAAGAGTTGATAGCCCTGGTTGATAGCTTCATGATTCTTGGTAAATTCACTCAAAATGTTCGCTTGTAAATTGATCTCATATAAGGCTTGCAGACTGACCCGTTCCGAAAACACTTAACGTCCTATAGTGTTGGTCTACCTTGAACGGTATGTTTGTTTCCATGTGATTTCATCACCCTAGAAATCATGGCATCTGTGCTAACTTTTCACGTCGACAACTTCTGCAAATTCCATGTGCTGTACGCATGCACAGGTGACACATGCGCCTTAGAGACCAGACAGCAATTTGTGACTGAATGTGGAAAAGAAAAAAAAAACGGAGCTGAAATTTAAACCCAGGCCTCACTGCCTGGGTAAAAAGACTTATAAATCAACATCATAAAAACATGTGGACAGCTTTCGTTATAGTCCCCACAGAAAAACAGACTTTTCTACATATAATTGGACTTTCAAAGTTGTTAAAAAGGCCACTTATTTTGAAAATGAATAATTCTAGCTATGTGAAAGTGGTCAGTTTGCCTGATAACAACTCGTCCCATTTGAAACGAGATGGTATCAACAGGGGAGATTTTGTAAATCCTCCTATTTCATAGCAAAGTACATCTGTCTCAAAATAACGAAATAAAGCTTGAGTATAAAAAAACTAGAGTTCTGTTGGAACAGTCCTTGATTGCACATAAGAACATAGCAAAATTTTTAGATAGAAATGGAGACAGGTGAAGATGCAATGGAGAAACAGAATATGTAGGCGACACATTTGAACAAGTGCATAAACAACTCCTTGAAAGGAAATACGATGTACATAGAAAATCAGACGATGGCACATACAATAGAAAAGATACAAGGAATAGTTGCATCATTTTAGATCTACTAGACTAAAGGATAGAGTTTCCTTAAAATTGTTGTTCTTAAGAAGTAAGAAATGTGGCTTAGAGAAAGTATAAAAAAAGAAGGAAAAAAGGCATATTGTTTGTTACATCCTGATAGCAACAATCATGGGATGCAAACCTAGTTAGAAAAAAAAAACAAAAAAAGGTGCTAATACCTTTACTGGGAAACAAAAGAGATCACTAGACAACCAAGAAGAGGTGTTAGCACACAAAAATAATACACAGCCAATAGAGTAATGCACAACAAACCTATACTGATGGTGTAAACAACAAGATCAAGAAAGATAGGGATAACAATATGAAAATTGTTGCCTTGACAAAACATGTTGCCAGTCATGTAGTTATGTTGTCAAGAAAAAGTAGACAGAAAAAGAAAAAAGTAAAAATTGTCCAATGGAGCCTAACTAATGCAAGCAGAGATAATATATACATACTTGGAAAACAGCGTCAATAACAAAGTTAAAATAATTTTAAAAAACATCAGTAACCACTCTAGGAACTGATAATATAAATTTAGATTCAAATGCAGTGAAGAGAAGAATGCATCATAAACATAGAGAAATGATCTCAAAAAGATAAAGAGCTTCAAAAAGGTAAACAAAATAAGTGGAGGATAATCAGCACTCACTTTGCTATAAATGAAATTTTTTGCAATATTTATCAAACCATAAGCCAATAAGGTTGCTGTTCACCGTTGCCAAATTGGATATAAAGATGCCTTTATAGTTCTTAATTTTCAGTCATCCAGTGAAATTGGTTTACATCGATAATACAAAATGGAAACCCTAAGCAACCATCTGTTTCTATTGGTGCTACTTGCCTGTTCCTTAAATGGTTCTAAAGGTAAAGTTTTCCTCTTTCTTGTAAGTTTGATATATTATAAGACAGGTGACTTTTCTTTGCGTTTGAATTGAAACTGAAGCTAAAATTTTAAAATTGTTGTATGGTAGATCCATAGCGGATAATTCAATTGGTTGATTTTTATGATCGACAAACTCATGTGTTCTGCAAAGGGCCTATCTCCAATCTCGGTCCCAGGGTGCTTTTCCAGCCCCGCCCCAGGCCAAAGAGCAAACGCAATAGCCAATCTACGTTCTTGTCACTCAAACATCTCAGAGCCAATAAGGTCTTTTTATGCAACACAACGACATCGTTTGGTGATTCCTGTATAAAATGCCAACACCCTGCTTGTTCAGTTAGTTGTTCTTCGACGTTTCATTAAGATGGGTAAGTTTAACGCTGTCTTTGTCAAAAAATTTAAACCTCACAAAATAAATACAGTGCAAATTTAAAGTTTCTTCACATTAAGGCACTCTAATGACATAAACTGTATTACTTTGTCTCCAAATATGACAATTGTCGTCAGAATAGATGTTGCTCCATTAGCCAAGATAATTTCTAAAGGTGTTAAAATGTACATTTGTCTTCTAGATCAACAGCAAATCAAGATGAAGATTAATTCAGACGAGTGTACACATTTTATCTTTATTTTTCTATTTAAAACTTCTTTGCTTTACTTGCATGAAGATTTGATTGCTCAGCAATCATCTTAAATGAAAAACCTTTATCTCTATGAAACTTTTCAGTGCCACATGAAGTTCCCATTGTGGAAGAAAGCACTTGTAAGTACATATTATTTACATTCTTACAAACTTGCTTTTTTTTTCTTGTTTTCAAGTTGCATTTTAAAAAAACTTGTAAGGAGTTTATAACATCAGTTTTCTCATGCCAAGATTACATGAGAACCAGATATCATTTTGCATTTATTTTGGTGCATGTCAAGTTCCCTTAATCTTACTTTTATTTCTTTTCATATTTTTTTTAGTTTTCGTGGTATTGGATGATCGTAAGTATTCCGTTTTACTTTATTTTAAACTGCTTTCTTGATATGAAAATTTGATTGCCCTATTACGAATAAACACTTGTAATTATAATTGTAAAGTTATTTTCACCCTGAACTTTTTAGACTTTTTAATGTAAATACATATATTGTTTTCAATAAAATCTACCAAAATCAAATAATACAGATTTTTTTCAACTTTACATGTTGAAAATTGGCTTCTAAATATTATTGTATATAGTTCTGTATATCATCAATACACTCCCCACTAAAGAAATGTTTTGTCACCCCCACCCCAACCCCAACATTCTAATACTTTCAATTATGCTTCATAAATTTTCTTAACCTTTGTTCCCTTTCAGAACCCTCCCTGCACCAGGAATTTCAAATCCCTTCTGTGGCACAAATATGGACATTACTGGAACAACACACTACACAATTCCACATAGTATCCATTGTCACCTTAACCCCAGGGAAGGCCGTTGAAAAGTCATAAAGGAATAGGCTCTCCAAACAACTATGTTAAACTGGAAAGATTTACAAAATGCATAAGCTCAGCTCTGCCAAACACTAAAGAATAAAAATGTATCATCTTTTATTCACAAATTCCCTGCAAGAATATAAACCATGACTATCCAAAATTGTAGCATTAAAGCTCACAAATTTACTCATATCAACATTAACTTTATTTTAGAAAAACAGTACAGACACCAAAAACGTGATGCTCCAAGGCACATGTCAAAACCTTGTAAGTATAAAATCTATCACTATAATTTTTGAAAATTTTAATTGCAAAATAATAAATTCTGATCGATAGTAAAGTTTCTTGTGACTAGCAGTAATATAAACTCAGGACAATAAGTAAATTAACTTTATTTTGAATTTGTGTTTTAGATTACATCTCACACAAGGTGTTACGAAGTAATTAAACATTAAAACACTAACTAGTTACCAATAAAATAATTCAACAACCATGAAGTAGCTTTAAGCTCAAGTCCAATATTTTCCATGAGTACATCTTGTAAAAACAAACGAATATCAAAGTAACAAAGTTAAGCACTACATCTAAACTGCCATATTTGACAAAAATAATTATTGGCTACATTTCAGGCATTTTAAACAGTCAGAACAGTAATAGACATATAATACATTACTGTGCACTTGCCATAAGTTGTCAAATTAACTATTCTCAACTCAACAACATAAACACAACTTCAATACTTATAAAATATCAAAAGGACTAGATGTGAAAATGAGGTCTGCAAAATTAACTTACTTCATTAATGAAATATTTTAGCTTCTATGTATTTTCCAAAACTCAATATATACCATTTACCATATGCTAAGCAGATGGAACAATCTGTAGTAGTCTACTGACACTAACAGCTAAATGATCTCAACATTTATTTTTTAGATAACATCATAGCGACAGACTACACCTGGGCCAAAAGTCATGTTAACAATAAAAGTAACATTTGAATCTATGGAACCCTTGTGGCAAATGGTAAATATAGAAAACATTTTAGTAAATACTTTTAATATAATCATTTTCTTTTTATAAAAAAAGGATGTTTCCACTATGTAATCCCAGTAATTACAAATTGCAATGCACAACAGAAGTTAAATTCTACTGTACTCTGTAGAATGAGACTGGACGGGGCGGGACAGGACGGGACGGGTATTTTGGAAACCAAAATTTTGGAAGGGGCGCATTTCTTTGAAACAAAGTATTGGATTGCCAAGGCAAATTCCTTTTTTTGCATATTTTGTATGGGAAAATCGAGTTATCAAGACCGTAATCCTTGTAAAATCTCACATTTGAAGCTGGCTAGAGCAAGGTAAGCACGGTTATTTCTATGTAAACATTCCCTAATTAGAGCAAAATATTTTGGTTGCCAGTCACGTAACACGATCAATAGACCCTTCAGTTTATTCCCAACGATTTGTGTTTTTTTTTCCGGCCCAAATTAGATCTGCTCAAAGACACCCCATGGCATTGTACCTTGTGGTATTTCAACTCTTAGGCCTTACGCAGTGTGCGACGGCTCTAATCTGTTATGCTTTATTTTATTGCCCAAAATTCTATTGATTTTAAAACTTGTGTGGGACCGCTCACTCTTCAAAATGGCGGCAAAATATGGCTTGGATTTCCTGTCAGCACACTGCATTCTTTAAAAAAGGTAATGTATGATTTTAGTGTTTAACTTCAAGTACTTGTAAGAAGATTGAATGTTTAAACCAGTTTTGAAAGTACCGTCATAGTGCTCTTTGTTTATGAATTAAGCGCGCGCATTTGTCGTTGTACACAAGCAGAGGTCTATTCGATCATTGAAACAACAGACAACATAAAATACCTGTTGCTTCGCTCGTAGAATTTCATTTCTATTTCCTGTGGCCTCTCAGTGCACGAAAGAAAGAGGACAATTCCATATAATGCTCATTGCAAAGTGCGTATGGACCATAGAGGGTTCAAAGATGTCGCTTCACAGTTGTATAAATATCTGTATCCTCGCAAACTATCCTAAGTACAAGAAATTTATTTCTGCTGATGACTGTATCCATAACCATAACTTTCCAACACCTCATTCACAGACTTCGGCTCATCTGATTTGTCTTGCTCAGCCTGCATCACCTCTGCACCCCCTTTGGTCTTCTGTGGAATCATCCCTCTAACTGTTCTCCATTCAATTCTGCTTGGAGCACTGGAATGAAATGGTCCCCTGCTAGGCTTGGTGTTGGTTCTCTTCAGTGAGAAATCAAGGTACTCTAGCTTGTTTCTGTAGAAACTTCCATTGATGTTCACTTGCTCACAGCG